AAAAAATTGCAGGGCCAAATGGCTTCAGTGCAGAACTCTATCATAATTTCAAAGAAGATCTAATGCCGATAATACTCAGATTGTTCCACGCAATAGAAACAGAAGGAATATTTCCAAATTCTTTTTATGAGGCTACAGTTACCATGATACACAAACAACACAAAGACTCAACTGAAAAAGAGAATTACAGACCTATCTCCCTCATGAACATTGATGGAAAATTACTCAATAAATTTCTGGCAAACAAAATCCAAGATGACATGAAAAAAATCATCCACCCTGATAAAGTAGGCTTCATCTGAAAGATGCAAATAGAAGTGATCTCCTCCAGAGTCCTCTATGACTCTACAGCCCCTCGTGCCCCCCTTGTGATTTCAGACAAACCCAGCCCCAGTGATGTCCAATCCAAAGACAATGTGAGGAATAATTTAACATCTGCTTTCTGCCACATGGATGATGTCACAAGATGTGACATCTTTCATATACACCTGCAAAATACTATGCTAATATGAAATACCTCTAAAGCTCAGAAACTCCTTTTGTGACCTAGAAATGAACTTCACTGAATCACACCATGGTGGCTGTCAGCAGCAGAAAGTTGAAAACATTCTAATCATGTATTGCTGAAGGATGACGCTCATCACCTCCTTCCTACCAGTTTCTAAACTATCTGTGACATTTGTAAGATAAACTTCAAAGTGGAAGGTAACATGCAGAACTTCTAGAAACCAGACCTTCAGTTTTTCAATCTGACTTCTCACTGCACAACAAAAGCAACGCCTGTGTGTGCACAAAGGACAGTGATATTACCACCTCATGGTATCCCATGTCAGGATGACAGAGCATCCCACTCCCCAGGAAATCCACATTCAACAAAACTCAGAGGCCAAGGGCCACTGCCCAGGTCAACACAGGGACCAACAGAACTTCACTCTGGCTTATAGTCCATCCCAGCCCAAGCAGTTCAGATTCTGATAGCTCAGCCAACCTCTTCTTCCTGGTCTGAGGACAGTGGCCCCCACACTCATCATGACATGGCTTGTGGTTTTCCTTATAGCTCCCCACAGTAGAACAAGAGGAGAATCCTAGAAAGAAACTGTAAGCTACCTCCCACTGTTGCTCCTAATGGCTAAGCCTTCCTGAAGTTCATCATTAGTGAAGATGACCCTGATGGGCTTCAGGACATTAGCAGTTACCCTACTGGGTGAGGAGAGATCAAATGACTCAGACCACATTGGCTCTCCCAGCTTTGCCCTTCCACACTACAGTCAGACAGGGTCCTGATCTGGGAAATTCATAGTTTAGTAAAATCCTCCAATGTCCCAGAGCACTTCCTATTCCTCTTCCAAGGCACAGGGTCCTATGTGTACACATTCAATTACACACTCAATGTCCAGCACAGGCAACCCTTTGCTTCATAGCTGGAAGGTCCTACAGACAAACACAGGTCACATTCAAACAGTATCTGTTGTTAAACAAAAAGAGGCCATAGATGAGAACACAAGGAAGGGGCTATAGGAGGCCTTGGAGGCAGGAAAGAGACAGTGGAAAAAATATAGTTATAATCCCCCAAAATTATGTTACAAAGTTGACATAGGCTTTATGGCCATGCGCTCCAGAGACTAGGGATTTGTATGAGAACACACCAAGTTTCTCTTAGGACTACCATCTTAAACTTGGAAAAAACAGTTATGTTAGGCAGGGCAACACCATTTTATCCAGTTCTTCTATTTAGGTTGAAATGCTGTAATAGTAATTTGGTATCATGATAAGTTCTGTTATTTAGATTTTTGATCACCTGATCCATGAAACTGAGAAATGGCCAGTCAGGACATTTATGGAATATCTGAAATTGATCACCTGACTCCACATGGCTAATGTCAACAGCAGGAAATCTTTCTTCTTTCTTCTTGCCCCTCCCTTTCTGTGCTGTGACTACATCTGCTTTACAGTTGGTGAATGAAATTCTTACACAGGTTCCTCCTTCTTTGTAAATTCACAATAAAATCTTGAGAACTTGGAGGATATTCATTTACTGGTTATTTATCCTTTACATCAACAATTCAGGGCGTTGGTGGCACACGCCTTTAATCCCAGCACTCCGCAGGCAGAGGCAGGCGGATATCTGTGAATTCAAGGCCAGCCTGGTTTCCAGAGAATGTGCTAGGATAGGCTCCAAAGCTACACAGAGAAACACTGTCTCGAGTAGATCCAGTCAACAGACCAAAGTTATTCGGAGGCCTGCCCCTGGGCTCAGGGGTTTGCATGGACCATGTGGAACTTTACAGGACAGGGAATATGGCTGCAGGTTCCCACTCAGGTACCCGGCAGACCCACCACACTGGCTCCAACACCTCACCGTCTGCTCCTCCCCATCTGGGGACAACAGCCCCTCACTCACCAAATCGTGGTTTCCCAGATTGCACAAGCTCTCCACTCAGCTCCCTGTAGCAGTGCTCACAGCACAGAACACACACACACAAAACGGAACTAGCTCCTTTTCAGAGACAAGCCTGCAATTGCCGCCAGGAAGTCACCTCTTTTGACTGACAGGTCACCTGGAGGGCCTGATTGGCTAGTGAGGGCTGGTGACAAGGTCACCTCCCATAGGATTACACTGTCCTTAAAGACACAGCACAAAGATTCCTGACCAGACAAAGATAGACCATTTCTATTGTTGATATCCAGCTTTAATCCATTGTGATCAGATAGGATGCAGGGTATTATTTCGCTTTTAAAAATGTCTCTTGAGATTTACTTTATATACTGATGTTTGGAGAAAGTTTCACGGGCTTCTGAGGATAAGGTATATTTAGTATCTCAGTGGGAATTTCTATAGATATCTGGTAGGTCCATTTAACTTATGATCTTATTTAGTTTCAGCATTTCTTTTTTGTTTTTGTCTGAATGATCTTTCTACTGGTGAATGTGGGGTACTAAAGTTTCCCAATACAACAGTGTGAGGATTAATATTTGATGATAACTATAGTAGTGTTTCATATATGAACCCGGTGGCCTTGCGTTGGTGCATATGTATTAAGAATTGCAATATCCTCTTTGTAGATTTTTCCTTTGATGAGTATGTAGTGTTCTTCCCCATATCTTCTGATTAGTTTTGATTTGAAGTACATTTTCTCAGATATTAAAATGGATATACCTGCTTGCTTCTTGTGTCCCTTTGCTTGGGATATCCTTTACATTCCTGTACCATGAGGTGATAGTAAGGTGCATTTTGTGGGTGCAGCAGAAGGATGGATTATCTTTTCTAGTCCAATATGTTGGTCTGTGTCTAATTTTTGAGACAATTAATGTTGAGAGTTATCAATGAGTCATATTTATTGATTCGTGTATTGTGTTTTTATAGCGTGGGGTTTTGCATCCTCCTTTAAATTCCTGGGCTGATATTATTTATTACTTGTATTTTCTGGGGTGTGGTTAACCTGTTAAGATTGAAGTTTTCCTTCTGTAACCTTCTATAGAACTAGATTTGTAGATAGTTACTGCTTGAATTTAGTTTTATCATAGGATATTTTTCTCCATCTACTCTGATTGATAGCTTTGCTGGTACTATAAAGTTTGTAGAACATCTGTCCAGGCACTTCTGACTTTTAGAGTCTCCACTGAGAAGTCAGGTATAATTCTAATAGGTATGCATTTATATGTTACTTGGTCTTTTCCCTTGAATGGCTTGTGTCTTCCTTATTCATCCTCCCTAAATACTGGGACACACTGTAGGACCGTCTTCTCTTCCTTACCCATGGAAACACCATGGTCCATACCTTGTGGCTCCTCATTGAGGTGCCTTTTAGAAAACCTTCAGCTTCTTCCCTTGGCATGCAACCTGAAGGACGCCAAATTTATTCACATTTGTAATAAAATCTAGCCTCAATATCTCTTAGATAATCAATATAAATGTGGTTAACTATCCACACCCTCGATCCCAATATTATTCAGGACCTTTACAAATACTGCAAGTGACTAGAGGTAACAAAAGTGGTTCCCCATTACCTATTTCTCTTTTCTCCACTCCAAGCCCTGTTTGTTTTTGTCTGGTATCCTACAATTCCCTCCCCCACATACTGTGTAAATGTGCTATCTTTAAAATACAGTTCATGGATCTGTTTGTTGCAAAGTGGGAACTGGGAGCTAGACCTAGCAGGAGAAAGCAAAGAGTAGGACAGCTACAGGGCTCACACACACATCTTTCTGGCTGGTACTGTCTCTCTGCACCCCCCCGCCAGTGCTCTTAACATCTGAGCCATCTCTCCAGCCCTAAATCAATAAATATTAAAAAAAAATCTACCTTGTGCCTCTGGGCTTTTACTTTTCTCTATCTCTTTCTTTCCTTCTTACTCAGGTGCTGGCTGTGTGGCTGGTGTTCTCTCTCCCCCTTCACTTTCCCTCTCACTCTTCTGTATATTCTCTCAGACCATCTGAAAAAAGGAAACTTATCTTCTTGATGTCTGCTCCATCTCTAACAGGAGACTGCTTCATCTTTCAGGTTTCAGAACAAATATCACTGACCAAAGTGTACCTTCTGTTCTACTTATCTTTCTGCTACTGTGATAAACAGCATGACCCTCAGACTCCTGAGTGCTAGGAAAACAGGCTTGTGCCACCATGCCCAGCCACACGACACCTGCAAGACTAGCCAGTACTCTTAACTTCTGAGCCATCTCTCCAACCCTAAATCAAGAAAACTTAAAAAAAAAACTGCCTGTGCCTCTGGACATTTACTTTTCTCTATGTCTTTCTTTCCTACTTACTAAATTGCTGGCTATATAGCTGGTATTCCATCTGGCACTCCCCTTTCCCTCTCTCTTCTGTTTATTCTCTCTGCCCACCAGACCTGTCTATCCTTCTCGCATGCAGAGCTATTGACAGTTCAACTCTCTATTAGTCAGTTGTGTTAGGAAGACAAAGGAGCACAGCTTCACTGAGTTAAACAAATGCAACATTAAATAAGGTAACACATCTTTACATCATCAAAAAAATGTTCTACTGCATAAAAGAATGTATCAAAATTACCACTAATATCCCAGGACCGCTGTGAGCTGCCATGTGTGTTCTGGGAATGAACCCCTGTCCTCTGCAAGAGGGGCTAGTGCTCTTAACAGCTGAACCATCTCTCCAAGCCAACAAAATAATAATATGATGATGTATAATTTCTGGGGGAGATTGTAGGGAGACACTGTAACCAGGCCTCCTAAGGGCGGGCTTGAGCACATCTGTCAGGGCATGATCAAGGGTAGGAAGGATAGGTTTTTGATTGGCTACAGACACCTGGGGATGCACACTCTCTTGCCTCACAGCCTTGCTGCCTCTGGGTCCGCTCTGGCTTATGCTTTGCTGGTGTATCTGAATAAAGGAAACCTATATCCTATAGACCGCAGGGCGATCTCTAACAGGAGGTTGGTTCAACTTTCTGGTCCCACTACAGATGCCACTGACCAAAGAATGTAACATACCTACAACAAATATCCCAGCATTGCTGAAAGCTGCCATGTATGTTCTGGGTATGAACCCCTGTCCTCTGCAAGACAAGCCAGTGCTCTGCACAACTGAACCATCTCTGGAAGTCCACAAAATAATATGATGATATATCATTTCTCGGCTAGAGAGTATGGAGAAACTGTAACCAGGCCTCCTAAGGGCTGGCTACAGGTGTGCTTGAGTACTCCTATCAGGGCGTGGTCAAAAGACCCCAGGATAGGTTCTTAAAGGGCTACAGACAACTGGGGTCCTGCTCTCTCTGGCCTCCCTGCTTTGCTGCCTCTGTGCCTGCTCTGGCTTATGCTTTGCTGGAGTATCTTATTAAGGAAACCTATATCCTACTGACCGCCGGTTGCTCTCCAACAGGAGGGTGGTTCAACTTTATGGTGTCAGTAGAGATGCCACTGACCAAAATGTACCCTCTGTTCTACTTGTCTTTCTGTTTCTGTGATAAACAGCATAAGCAAAGACAACCTCAGTAAGCAAGAATTTATTTTACCCTACAGTTTGGACCTCTTCAGTGAGTGAATCCAAGGCAGAAGCCTGAAGCAAATAAAAAAAAAAAAACCAAAAAAAAAACCTCCCCAATTTGCTGCTTACTGTCTTCTTCCCTGTGGCTTGCTGTGCAAGCTGTTTTTGTACAGCCCTGCCCTTCTGGTCTAGGGACATACTACCCACAATGGGGTCCTGTGATAATTAACCTACAACGTTTCTCTGTATAACAGATCTAGATGTCCTGTAACTGGCACAGTGGACCAGGCTGTCGTCACACTCACAAAGTTCTGCCACCCTCTGACTCTGCTTCTGGAGTTCTAGTGTTTGCTGTATTGGCACAACAATCCCACCACAGCCCTCCCCTTTTTCTGTTTTGTTTTGTTTTTTCTTGTTACTCGAACCACGGTTTCTCTGAATAGTTTTCGAGCCTATCCTGGCAATCGTTCTGGTGTCCAGGTTGGCCCTGAACTCATAACATCCACCTGCCTCTACTCTGTGTGCTGGGAATACAGGCCTATGCCATTATCGCCCGGCCTCAGGACCCCTGGAATTGCAGCCAGTGCACTTAACTTCTGAGCCATCTTTCCAGCCCTAAATCCAGAAATCATAAAAAAAAAATCTATCTTTTGCCTCTGGACTTTTACTTTTCTCTACGTCTTTCATTCCTACTTTCTCCATTGCTGGCTGTATATCTGGTGTTCTCTCTGGCCCTTCCCTTTCCCTCTCTCTTCCGTTAATTCTCTCTGCCCAACAGCCTTGTCTATCATTCTCTCCTGCCATGCTATTGACAGTTCAACTCTCTATTAGATTAGTCAGTTGGGTTAGGAAGCCAAAGTAGCACAGCTTCACTGAGTTAAACAAATGCAACATTAAAGAAGGTAACACATCTTGACATCATCAAACAAATGTTCTACCGAATGAAATGTAACATACCTACAACTAATATCCCAGCCCTGCTGTAAGCTGCCCTGTGTGTTCTGGGAAAGAACCCCTGTCCTCTTCAAGAGAAACCAGTGCTCTGCACAAGTGAACCATCTCTGGACGTCCACAAAATAATATGATAATATATAATTTCTGGGCTAGATAGTAGGGAGACACTGTAACCAGGCCTCCTAAGGGCTGGCTACAGGTGTGCTTGAGCACTCCTGTCAGGGCGTGGTCAACAAGAGCCCAGGATAGGTTCTTAAAGGGCTACAGACAACTGGGGTCCTGCTCTCTCTGGCCTCCCCGCTTTGCTGCCATTTGGCCTGCTCTGGCTTCTGCTTTGCTGGTGTATCTGAAAAGGAAACCTATATCTTATTGACCACCGGTCCCTCTCTAACAGGAGGTTGGTTCAACTTTCAGGTCTCAGGCCACTGACCAAAATGTACCTTCTGTTCGAATTGTCGTTCAGGCTCTGATAAACAACATGACCAAAGACAACCTCAGTAAGCAAGAATTTATTTTACCCTACAGTTTGGAGCTCTTCAGAGAGTAAATCCAAGGCAGAAGACTGAAGCAAATAAAAAAACAAAAAAAGAAAACCTCCCCAAGTTGCTGCT